TGGGACTTCAAAGGCATCGCGCAAACGTTCTTTACGCGCTGCGGCAACTTTGATCTTGGTTCATTTGCATAGCGCTGCGTGCGCGTAGCTTTGCCGAGTGATCTCCTTCTCAATAATACCTCCATGATTATACAATGACTTTCGACGCCAAGCATAGCCTACGTTAACGAAAGGAAGTGCGGCCTAGCTAGTAGAGGACTGGCTAGGCCTTGAATTCTTAGCCTAGAAACGTAGGCCTCCTCCTACTCTAGCCTACTACTTCAATTGGCTAAGGTAGGCTAGCTAGGCCTAGGCCTTCTTCTAATCTAGGCCTAGGTCTAGCCTAGGCCCCAGTTTCCTTATTATGATGACAATTAAACATAATTTATACCACTGCCTGTATATAATTAATGTAATTATTTTATATTTCAATGTTTGTATAAATATATAAAGTATATAATTATAATAACTTAAGCCAAAAATTTAACCTCTTGAGAGCGTAAATCAGCACTAATTTCACTTGAATCGCTGTCATAGGACGCGAGACCGTCCATATTGGTTGTTGGCGGAATTACACATGCCCGGATGCAATTGTGCCGCGCCTGTCAACAATAAATAGTGCTCCAAGAACAATTTACTAGACTGAAATGGTGTACAGTACAACCAAAAATCTTAGAGTCCTTTAGATTTTTAAAATTTTTAGACTAATTTTTCATGATTCCATTATTTTTTTACAACAGTGTGACAAACATACTGCTAATAATAATATTAGTGCCTTGTCAATAATAAACACCTTTGACAAAGAGGCATGACTTCGTTAATTGTAGCTTGTTTTAACTGGCATTATATTTTAAATTCAATTTTGCCGGTGATCTGATAGAATCTTTTATAGGCCTATTTGTTTTTATGCATGCTTTTAAAGACGTTTTATGTATAGGAGAGACACTCTTGATGATAGCGGCAATCATCTGATACCGGTAGGACCTAGTGTACATCTGGCCACACGTAGCATTATGCTTTGTAGCATAATTTAGACCCCTGTAGCATTTATTTATTCTACGCATATAATTTCACCAAAACGTAGCATAACTTGTAGCATAATTTAGGTTGACATTGAAAAACATTTTAAATAAAATTATAAATATTGGTAATAAAATGTTAGTTCCAAAAACAAAGGTTGCTTTTTTAACCACTCAATATATACGACAGAAATGGGTATGACATTATTGACATGACGTTTTTTGCGCCGCTTGCAGTCGGGGTGTAACTAGACTTGCAACAAGTCTCTTATTTTTTAATCATTTTTCTCATTCTGGACAGTGCCACCAACGAGAAAGTTAATTTAGAGACGCGCACTAAGTGCAATAAAGAGTGAGTAACCTAAAATTAGGGCCTGGAACACAGGCTAGGGTGTAACCTACTGTTAGGTTGCAAAATAATATAGAGAAGTGCGACTGCTCTCGTACTAAATGGGCATATAACTACAGCGCCGCCGGACGGTCGGAACCTTCCATTGTACAGTTCACAGTGCACTCAACCACCAGCAAGCAGAATTATGATTTTGAGGATATTTCCCGCACGATTAAAATCGTAACGGTACTGGTATGGTCTAGAATACAGGAGTTCGTGTTTCGTACAGGTCATTCCATTCATAAAAATAAAGCCTTTATACTGGAGAAAGCGTACCTATCGTTAGCCATAGTAGCTTAGGTCAATACTAACTCCGGCTATATAAAATGTATTAAAAGCTTGAAAAATTTTAATTTTATTATTGTATTAGTGATGTACACGTTTTAGTTATTGTTATTTATTCGTTAACGTTATTATATAAATTTATATTTAAATTTAATGTATTAAATTAATCTTATCTATTAAAATTGTATATTTAAATAATATAGTAATAGGCATAGCACCGAGACCTCTGACGATTAGTGCCCAAAAATGTTTACAAAAACCAGGGAACAGTGAAATTGTAATTGTAATTTCACTGTTCCCTGCAAAAACGTAATGCAATAATAGCATATTGACTATTATTAGGCCTATATGTTATCGGAAAATATTTCAGGGGCGGATCCAGGATTTGAAACAGGGGGGTTCATTTTATCCCATAAACCCAAAAACGAAAGAGGGGTCCTCCCCCGGGAAAATTTTGATTCTAGATGGCCGGATATTTCCCGACTTCTGAGGTGTCTTTTAATGACTTAATTTCTAAAAAAAAGGTCAGGTGATTTTATCTCATTCTTAGGCCTATACCATAGAAAGTAAATAAAAAATATAGTCAATATATTATTAGGCCTATATCATACCAAGTCTCACGCATCCAGCGTGAACCTCACGCTTTTCGAACAAACCTCAAGCTCTCAAGCCTCTCTAAAATCTCACGCTTTTCCACTAATCGCAAGCTTTATTTGATTAAACCCAAACTTTTTATCGAAATACTATAAACCTTCGCAATTCTATATTTGATCAGGCCATCATCGAAAATTATATCGTTCCTGTTATAGCTACCGTCACATTTTAAAGGTTTCATTTCAGCACTAGAGATATTCAGAGGCACAAGAGAGCATCTAGGCCCAACATTTTTCGGGGCCCTTGGACGGGCCCTCGACTAACGTCAATTGGGTTTATTTCCTGTTAAATCCCAAGCCTCTAGCTACCTCCAACTTGCCATGTATTCTATATTCCAACATTATTGAGTAGTTGGATGCGTAGTCTTTCTTTCATAGATCGATGAACTGATAGGCCTGAAGAACACACTTTTCGTACATAAATTATTACGACGTCGAGCCAAAACAGTGTTTTTAATTGCATTTAATTGAATGCTAGTTGGGCTAAGCCTAGTTGGTCCGATCTGCCAACCTATGCCTAGGTAGGTTGCATAGTTACCAACCTGAAATAATTGAAATGCGTAATTTGAAACGTGGGCCGGCGGCCAGCAGAGCCCCCGCCGGGGTCCAGGGTTGGGGCCCCGGTGAGAGTTCTGGGGCCGATATCCTCTGGGCGTTCTGACAATCTGAGCATTTTTAAGCTGTTTTTAGGAAGTGTTTATTGACAATATCAGGTACATAAACAAAAATATTTTTAATAAAGCCACGTACAATTCGATTTTAATTTGAGCACCCGAACTATGTACACAAACATTCATCACTCAAAAAAAAACAAAAAATGAGTGAATAAAGTGAACCTTTCCTAACATTCGACACTCTTTCTACCCCTCCTGTTATACTCCTACACCTCTGATTCTTAATTAATTTGTTTAAAGGGCCAACATTTATTTTGAGTTGGGCTCACAGGCAGT